GCTTCTAGGCTCTACATGACCTTACATTCCCAAACCCCATTTTGTTGCGAACTTGCTACTTGATTAATTTTATTCTCCTTTTAGGAGCATGTTACAGGCTACATGTACAAAAAGTCGGTAATCGAGACTGAACAAGGCTGGGATGTTTTTGTTCAGGAGGTGCATTCTAAGTTGCATTTTTTATTCATCCGTTTTAATAAACACTGCCAAAAACTTAGTTAATTTTTACGTTAAGTTTATTCAATTTGGCACTGCGACACTACTTTCATGTCAGCTTTCTATTCCTTAGTCCTTGCATTGTGGCTGATTCACATGTTTGTGGCTTTTCATTTCAACATTCTACCTTCTTTCCTAAGAAATCAAGAATCCGGTCTCATTCAGGATAAACATATCTCATGCGTTTAATTCTTTTCTGAAGAAACTCATGCACTATATGTGTATAAGAATTTCCTACATGGTTTTGGAATCATACAGCAAAGGCAAGATAAAGTCATCCTTTGTTGCTGCGGCTGTTTCAATTTCCCGGTTTCGTGCTCTTATTTTAGTTTCTTTTATTTCCAAGTAGGCCATAAATTAAACGAACTGCTATTTGTGCAAGACAAACCTTTGGTTAAAAATATGTCCTATTTGTAAACGTCTATTGTTTTCGTCAATCAATCATATCACCAAGTTACTCACCTACCCTCCTTTCCCTCCTTAGACTTGCAAATTGACTGCCGGGCGCTGTCTCGGCCTCTTGGTCAGCTACCCTTTTCAAGGTGAGCTTGATAAGTCCCCCCATTGATTATTTCTACATCTCATCCCCTTTTTAGTGATCATGATTCGGCAGATCGCCCAGTTGGTCGGCAAGGAAACCATGTACAGCAACATTTTAAAGGCCTTCGTGGAGATTAACGTAAATGAGGGTTTGCCGGGTCTTTTTGGGTAAGGCTTGATGAAATTATCCCCTCAGTTTTTGAAAAATGGATGATTTTATGTCCGTTTCATTATTTTTTGAAAAGCGATGTCTTTAACGTCCACCTAACTTCCATTCGTAATAAGTTGATGAATCGACTTGACTATTTAAGCCATTTTTAAAATGAAATCGTTTTCTTTGGCTATCGTGACCTCACAAATTTACACCAAATTAGGTCACTGTTTCTATAAGTCATGTGTCGAGTTTCCCTCTTACCTCGGGAAGGCTTTGATGTTGTGACTCCTATCCTTTCTGTTTTTTGGTAGGTATTATGCCAAGCATCTCTGTGAAACCTTTTCCCTGCTCCACTGCCTTAATTTCTAGCCTCTTTGAACGAATTATTGGGGACCCTCCCCCATCTCGGTCGTATTTTGAATTCGAATTCTTTCCTTACATAAGCTTTGGTGTATCGCCTGCACTGGCCTTGTCAGTTCTACAGAAGTTTTGTCTGCATAGTTTACATGCTGCATTCCAGGAATGGATGATCTTCGTTCGTTGCTTCTAGACCACTGTGGAGGTTGGCATTTCAGATATCTTTTTTTCATTGTTTCTCAAAATCGTTTCAACCCTTACTAATTTCTTTTTGAATGACTTCTGATGAATTAGTTTTACCTTTTTTCGCCCGCTTTTGGAGTTTTTGAAAGGTCATGTTTATTTTGTTCTAAGGTCAGGGTTTACCTGAGGGTATTTATAGGTGCATACTTCCTTAAAAGTGGTATCTCAAATATCCAGCTGCGTTGTTTGATTGCATTTGAAATATGCCCTTGAGGCATTAATAAATTTCGAAAGTTTTTGCGAAGTAACATTTAGCAAATTTCGTTCACCTTACCATTTCTATCTTCTTTGAGAAGTACATTTAAGCAGCTGCAATCCCTTCCTCTTTTAAAGCCTTCCGGTGGATCTGTTTTAAAAAACAAACGTTTTATCTAAGCGTTTATCGACTTCGCCATCTCCTCGGTGCATCCCTTTTGCCATCTTGATAAGCGCTTCTTTTTCAGATTAGGCTCCGTCATATCACATCGACCGAAAATATGGCCTCACGTTTTGCCTGTTTTTTTATTCACAGACATAAAATTGGTGCACACCTCAAGTTTGTTTTAATGCGAGTTTAAGTGGTTCTTCTTCGCAAACGCACTTGGCAGGACATGCTTTTTACAGTGTAAATTCAGATTCGTAAATTGGTCTCGCTTTTTGGAGACATAAACGGCGTACATTTGTGCTCCTCTATCCTCGGCTAAATGAAGGGTTGCCTTACTGCACCGTAGAGTGGATTTCAATGTTCTCGGCTTAATCCAAAAGGCATTGGAACACAAGTGAACAGTGCTGGGTTGTGGCAATTTGTGATGAGTCGGTTTGACGGTTTTGTCGACTTCCGAAGCCCATTACTTTAAATGCCAGAGCAGCTTTTACTCTCCCAATTCATCGCATCGAATTTGCGGTCTCTGTTTTGCGTACGTTCCGATCCACCTATTTTGCTACTCTACTCACCTTCTTGGAAAGCGGGGTTGGTTGACCTTCAAATCGGCCTTTGTAGGGCCTATCTCAAATTGATTTGACTAATGTTTTACGCTTTTTAAGGGCCATATTTCTTGTACCTCTTTTGGTGAGCTTCAAACTTACCTCAAGCAAAACCTTGCTGAATCAACTCACCACACTTTGGCATTTTTAAAGCGTGGCTCTTTGCTGGCGCTCCTAGCTTACTTCGAATGGGTTCAAGTGAGTGGATTCTGCTGTTTCATCACTTGTTTCTCACGGTAGGCGGCTTCCCTTCCTTACTTCCTTCATTTACCTTACGAAGCTAGGTACGCCTTTTAATTTCCAAGATCATAATCCACTCTACTTGATTATCATCAGAAAAGGTCACTGAGCGCGCTCTTAGCTGGCAACTTTTAACTCAATAATCCCGTATTTACCTTATTTTCATTGGCAATGATTTTGCTTTCAGTACCCCATCTCTGATGGGTAGATAGATGAGTAGGTTAAGCTAATCGTACCGGAAAATCGTAAAGTCTCACTCGTCACCTCAAAATCTCCAAGTGGTAGCATCCGAGCACTTATTTCGCAGGCTTCAAGAGACCCGGAGAGGCATATCAACATCTTTTTTTCAAGGATAGAAGTTCCAGATTGTTACCTGCCAACGTTAGATGCATTAATTTTATGATTTTGTCACATTTGGATGGCATTACTTCGAATTTCAGGATAGCTTGACCTCCAAAAAGTCTCTTTTGGACGGCTTCCAATTCCCTTTTTTAGGAAATAAAAGTGCTTAAACTTAGGTACTATCAAGACAAGACTGTCCAACATATCGAAAGAACTTTTTTAGATTACCTGCTACTTTCTGTGTCAATTTTTGATAAAACGATTATCCAATCAAGGTCGCATAATCACTATTCATTGAAAGCGGTGTCGTGTACTGCTTTTGTGCCCTACTTTCTCCTTTCATCTCCTCATCGGTGAAAGGTAGCCAAGGTAGGCTAATCACTGCGAAAAAATCACAACATGCCGTTTGACGCCTACCTTAAAGTAGACACCGAGATTGGTAGTTGAGCGTGCTAACTATCGTGCCTCAGTGGTTGTCAGAAGGACAACCGCCAAAGCGTATGCGGTCTAGTGATAAATACTCTACGGGTTTCAACGCGCTTTCATCCTGTCACCCAAATTTTGTACTTAGGCTACATGGCATGTGCTCTTTCGCAGTCCGCATCAGTTTGAGCGTCTCAAATGGATTGATGAAGTCTGTGGTTCCTTGGCAGTAGCCGAATTTATGGCGGTTGAGAACAGTGGGAAACGTTGAAGCGCCTGTAGCGGTTGATTTTTTTCTGTCCTAGGCGACATCGAATGTGGCATTTCCCTACTACTCGATTTTCTGCTAGTAAAGTAGAAAATCGCTTCACCTGTCTTGACATAGGGCGACTTTTCTACACATTTGTGGCCCAACCTTTCCGCCTGTCCAGTGACCCTGGGTAACCTTAAATCTGTGCGGGCAAGTGCGGGTTGTTTAGCTACCGTTATATTCGATGGATTTTTACGGATATGCGATAATAAGTGGCTTGCAAGATTGAATAAAAAAGTTCTCAACTCTCTGGCTCATTTCTATGCCTTTTGCAGTCTTCCAGAAACAAATTCGTTTATTTTCAAAAATCTGGGCAGAAATTCTGTTTCCTTTTTCATACGGAGGTTAAAGTGGCTACTCTGGGGCTTTTTATCCGCTTGCAAGATAATCTCTACCCGTGCTCATGAAATTCCGTGTGGTGCCAAAGTGTAGCCGTTGAAATGCCATTGTGACACCTCTGCTTCCTCAGCCTCCAAGACCCTTTCCCCTCAGTTGACGTGAGTGTAAATATTGCGGTGGAGGGTTATCATTTTTTCTCCTCAATCTTAGAGGGTCGTCTCTGTTGCGATATGTAAGTCTCCACTCATTGTATTGAGAATGGAGGATCTTGCTTAACATGATGGATTTTTGATTGGTTCACCATTTCTGATTGTCGCTTTCCTACAGAATACCACAGGAAGGTCCTAACCTCCAAGTTTTTCTGTGTTATTTAGCGGTCTGATCCCACGACTCCTGGGAGAGGTAATCGCAGTCTGGTTGACAGCCAGCATGGCCTATGTAGTGAACAAGTACCTTCTACCCGAGGATACGGACCAAGTTGTTAAGGAACACACGCCTTACATTGCTGGCGTGAGTTATGCCGCCTGCACTTTTGGCTCTTATTTCCATTCTTCCCCTCTTGCTTTTCCACGTTTCCCTCCTCGTTTTCTACAGTCTGATTGGTGCATTATTGTTTCTGATACGGGACTCCAAGTATGTGGAACAATGGAGCTCTACTACTACTAACCCTGATATGAGTAGAATGTCATCAGTGCACGGTGGAGGGCTCAACTCCCCACTAGCATCGAAAATAAGAAAAGCCTACTAGCAACATTATAAATAACATGTTTTTTGCAAACTTTTGGCAGCTTCTGCTGTCTTCGTGCACTCATCGTCTCACGGTTACCTCCACCGTGATGGCCGTCAGTGGTTCCGGGTACGTAGGACTGCCTTACTTCTTTCTATTTTTTTATTCTGTAAAGCATTTAATATTTCCATCGTTCCAGCTTATCGGTTGACGTGCCGTTCAAGAACAGTTTGGACTGCTACAACTACCTTTCAACAAGGGTAAGAAGTCTGGTCAGATTGGTTACTTTACTTTACCTCTTTTTCGTTGTCAGAATTCCTTCATGCGTGGAGCCTCACTCTTCTTCCGTTATGCATCGAGTCCTCTGTGAAATTGGTGTTTTTTCTCGGCTTATCAAAGTATTCATTACTCTAGTTTATAGCCGCCTTACCCTACTGGACTTCTTCGTTATGATGAAGCAAATTTTTTGGTCTTTGTCGCACCTGGTAAATTGTCTGAATAAAGATACTTTGTTTACAAAGAAAGTGTTGGGCCGTGTGAGAGGTGTTGAAAGTCTTGTCAACCCTTTGTCTGGGATGGAAACGGTGGAGAGGGAGGGCAGGATTAATTAATCGTGTCCTATTGTGCCAAAAGCCTAATTCCACTCGTTGGGTCAACTACTCATTCAGCTCACTTTACTATTCGTGATTTATGAGGCGGTAGTGATAGAGCGTGTAGGAGAATCAACAGTCCTCTTCTGTAGGTGGAACGTCAGTCCATTTGTGATATCCTTATAGCTCTATCTAAGGAATCTATCATGAAGATAGACCTCAAGAAGTTGTATTTCAGTAATTTTGAACAAGTCTTCTGTGGACTAAATTAATTCCTTAATTATCGCTCTCCTACTATCTGAGTCCGCCCGGCCATCTGGAGTTCGGTAAGTCTGATGGATTTCGCCTTTATCCTCAACGAAGCGCAAGGAAGTAGTTTCGGTTTCTTCATAGTGCGTTTAAGGTCGCAGCTCATGGTCTGGTCGTCTCCGGCTGCTTTATGGCCCATTACCTCTATTAACATAACACGAAAGCGCTAAACCCGTTTCAGATCAAGGCGGAGATTGCCCGCATTGTGCTGTTTGCGATCCCGTTCTTTCAACGCGTTTTCCATTGCCAAGAGACCGACTAGTGGATGGTAATGATTAGCGAGCAAGAAAATGGTAGATTTTCCTTGCGAACATAGAGCACTTGTGAATGGATAAGTACGAAACTCCCAACAAAACAAACCGTCAACAGGATTAACTTTGCCAAATTACATGATGCCGCTACTGGCCGCCCTGCCATTATGTAATGGAATTGGTTAGTTGAGTAGTGACACCAACGTTGTCGCCTGGGGACCTTGAGATTTTTAGGGCAAAGCGCTCCCTACGGCTAGTTAGTCGGTAGAGAAAGACAGTGCTCAAGTTGGGGGTAGAGCTGTGCATCCAAGTGTTTGAAATCCCGTATCTATCGCTGCAATGGCTAGCCTAAACGAAACCGCGACCTCTAACACATTTGCGCTGAAAAGGGTTGCTGCCATGGAGGTAGTACACGTAGCAAAATAGTCATGCCTTCTAGAGGAGTAAATAACTGACGCACATGTCATAAACCAACCCGCGCTGCACGTAAATGGAGACAGCAAGAAATGAGCGGGTGCTTGCAAGGGCGTGCGTGATGAACAGAGTAAAATCTAGGAGAGGCTTCGACCTTTTCTTTGGTAAAATAATGATTTAATTGGTATGAAAACTTCATAGCCAGTCGCGCGCTAGACAGTGGTGACCGCAGTCGTGGTGAACATTCATCAAGCAGAGCCCCGATTCCCTGACTTCTAAATAAAGCATAACCTATTGTTAAATTGTGGCACCACTTAATGTTGCAGTGAGTTACCGAAAATTGATGGAAAACCCGTGTCATATATATGCGACGCTAGTAGAGAACGCTTGAATAGCTACGTTACCAATCAAATCGGTCAAATGGACTAGGCTGCTGTCTACTTTTTTAGAAGCGACGCAATGTAGCGGTTTGCCCGCATGACCAACCTGTAGTGGAACCACTTATGAATGAAAAAGTACCAGCCAAAATGTGTGATTTTATAATAAATGTTAACAAAAATAGACAAACATCTTCCTACGAAGATGTATAAAATCTCGGATTTCTTTAAGAAGAAACCTTGAGAGCAAACAGGATATCTGACCTTGTACAATTCAGACGCAAAAGCATATTTGTGTCTTTTCGAGACGGTTCCGCGGAAATCAGTCTGTAGGCACTCAGCGAAGCACACATTGCAAATATTGCCGTATCTGTTGGTTTAGGTACGCCTAAAAAGGGGAGTCATTGTTTTCGAAACGTTCAGAAATAAGCGCTTTTAGAATATGTCAAACACAAAAATGGTGCAGAAAAGATACCACAAAATACAGACACTGACCCTCAAGGTTGCAGAGGACGTGAAGCTGCTGCAAACACCGATTCAGCGGAACCTCTTCAACGCCTTGCGCTGCCACCTCAGCTACAATAGCTCGTAGCAGCAGTCGCTCGTAGTGGGAAACGCTTCGCAGAGCAGTTAATCCTAACGAAGTGAACATCTCCCGCAGGGCTGCGTTCACATGCTGCATGGTTGTGGTAGCCTTCTGACCTCCCTCCAGTTGCGCTAACTCGGCCGCACGACGACAAATATCCAACGCTCGACGTGCGTCACCCGACACCGCGGCTACTTTGCGAGTTGCTAATTCAATTGCTTTCGGCTAAAAGAAGTGCTACTTAAGTAACGTCAGTAAAGTCGAATGGGAGCTCATGCGACAAGACATGCGTTGCTTACATCGAAAGATGAGCCAAGCTCCGATCCTAGTCGAGCATTGACAATAGCGGCGAGTTGTTCATGCGAATAAGGCGCAAAAGCAAGTCGATTAAGACCCAAACGACTAGCTACGCGATGATGCAACACGCGTTCAGGTAGATCCATGGTGTTTGCTACGGCTAGTACGATCAATATACGTCTTCCACATCGTTTACGGTCGCCAACGCCAACCGAAGACCGACATGTCCAATCGAAGAGGGCATAGAGGACGTCTTGCCGGCGTGAACACAGGAGGTCCAATTCGTCGAGGAGGAGGATGCAAGCTGGAGCAGTAGAATTACCACGTTGCCGTGGTGCTGAACAGAACTCAGCTTCGAGCAGCGACATCGCCTTGTAGGCTGACGCTTTTTCGCCTTTCAATGCCTACAATGATGGAAAATAGGGAGCTTGTCTCTCAGTGGCTAGAAGCCATTCAAGCCTATGGCGCTTCGGTTGATAGGGGACTGTTTGTAAACGGTCTCGCAACATTCTGATAGGCCGAGTTACGCTCCGAGAATGTGCCCTCTATATTAATGACAGTGTTAAAAAGGTGATTCTAAAACAAAAAACCTCGTTTTTCAGGGATTGAGAGTATAAGGATATATCCCAGAGGCGAGACAATCAAATGGTATCGAGTTTTGATAATCGCCCCCAGATCAAGTGTAGCATAAAGCACCAGATTTGAACGAGTCGGAACCATTCACTTACATTTCTGGTGAAGGCAGTGCTTTGTAATCGTGATCGATGGGCACGATAGCCTCCATCCCCTCCTGTTGCCGTTAAAGGGATCGTTCATTGGAAGGCAATTATGACGTGAAATATGCTTTCTGTAGAAGCACTAGCTTCCGCGTGAAATCTTCGTATGCAAAGTTTGCCTAACAGCGGATGCGACAGAGGAAATGGAAGCATTCCCGAGCCACAGTAAATTACCGAAACTGATGAGCGACCGCATAGACAACCATCCTGATTTGAATCCCAGACGCTAGCATGCTCGCGTAACCCAAAGATGCCGCAATCGACGTGAATAGAAAGAAGTGGTGATTCGTGGCAACTAACCTCATAGATCTGAGCATAGATTTGATGCGGCTGGGACACTTGCATCCCATTGACGGTGACAAATTTGAAGGGTGGAATAACACTGTTGCCGTCCTCATCCACACAGCCAGCCATGCTCCTCGCTACAGCCGTGACAGTTGCCGTCTTTCCTGTTCCCGGTACTCCCGAGATATACAGACACCTGTGTGAAATGAAAAAAGGGTATTCAGGGACTGTAAAATACATAAACTCATGATTGGCTAGCATTAATAAAGCATAAATATACCTTTTAGTGTCTGGATAGTGTCTACTTCACTCTCCTATCAATCGTGTCAGATGTTGAAACCATTCATTTAATCATTTGGCCATCTCTTATTTTGCTAATCGAATCAAACACTCGTTTAATAGTTCAATGCTCCAACCCATTATTCAATCAACCATCCGTTTCCTGTTTGGCTTCACGAAACTAGAGGCGGATAATAGCAACGCCAAAATACCAAAAAAAAAAAAATTCCTAAGCCGAAAAACCAATCCCAGCCCTTCCCAATAAACAAAAGGACCAGTTTTGTCGAAGGCACTGACCATCAAGCAAATCGGAAATGTCATGTCTACTGAACTCAAACTCTCCATTCCAAATGGCTCAAATGCAACCAAAGGCTAAGTTTAAATTGGTCTTTGAACGTAAAAGTAAACAAAGAAAAGAAAAATTATGCAATAATGAATTGGTTATCTTCAATAACCATTGGTCCAAAATAGTGATTGGTTTTGGTTGAGCTGTAAATCCGATTGCTTTCAACAATGATAAAAAACCACCTAGATGTTACCCTCCAGTGCCATTTTGAAGGTGCTCAAAAAGGAACTCGAAGATCGCATCAAATTCCTTTTCGCGGCAGGGTAGACAGTCGTTAGAGAGACGCGAAGCGTGCAGCCTACAAGGCATTATAAAAATGGAAAAGTGACACAAAAAAGGGTGTGACAGAAAGAGATTAGTAAATCGGACAAGTTACTTGGCATTCAACGTCTCACGATCGATGATGGCGGAGGTGGTACGACGAGGAAAGAAGGCTTGATCACTGACAGAAGTCTGCAAATTGCAAAAGAAGGTGGAAAATCGGTGATTTAGATTTTAAGACTAAATTACTCACTTGTGCTGGTCTCCTGGTTTTTCTACGTCGTGGCCTCGTTCGACGCACCCACTTATCATCAGAAGTGTCTGTAGAAGTGGTGGGACTTGTAGGGTCCTCTTCGGAAGAGATCTCCTCCGAGTCAAATTCTTCAGAAGATGAGACATTTTCAGAGGGAGAGAAGGATGCCTCAGAAGAATGCAATGACGAGCCTTTTTGACGTGACAACGAAGTCGCTGAATGCACTGAAGGAATTCATTAAGAACCAGATACGTGAAAGGTTTCGACGGTAGATCTTCTGCTGATGAAATACTTTATCAACTTAAGCCTTTATATTTTTCGACCTGAAATAGTGACTGTGTCTAGTAACAAATGAAGGTATTTTGCGGTTTTTAAAGATTGGTGATAAAAAAATGAAAGTAAAGAAAATCATACATCATCTACTCACCCTTCTCCGTGTGACGACATGCTACAGAAGAAAGGGGAGTGGCCTTCGCCTTCGGACTGGTGGAGAGTTTTTTGAAGCATTCCAAGATCTTCACCATCGCCTCATCCTTGCACGTCCTTCGCGGAGTACGTGGAGTCCTAGGCGCAGAAGTGGCGGTGGAATCCATCGTGTTTCTAACCCTCAGTGGACCATATCCTGCTTCCTTCACTGCTTCTATCGTGAGAATAGAAGAAATACTTTCCAAAGAATTGCGTCTTATTTGCTGAGTCATATTTGTCAAATTGAGTTCAGTAATACCAGATCAACAAACACAGGGCTGCAGGTTCCAAATCGACACATTCGCTGCTAACACCGTATATTTAACATACCAGACTTCCTACTTGAACCCAAAGACACAAATACATGACATATGTTCATTACCAATTTACGATATTCGTATGTGCAAAATCGTGCTTAAAACAGGTTGGCAAAATGCAAAACAATATAGCTGTTGTAGAATGTATTGGATCTGATAAAAAGTACGCTTTTAGCTTTTAGGTAAGACTTTCAATGAGCCAATCTAGTGACAGGGAAGTTTTCCAGACAAAGCAAGCAAAATCCAACATCGACTTGATCGCGCGTGAACAAGTTAAATTGCCACCAAAAATTGTAGGTAATGCTACTTAATTTTTTGCTAAACAGTAACACTCACCGGATTGGCCAGGACCATCAGATTTAGCGGGCGTAGATTTAACAGAAACTCGTGGTTTGGACGAACGTTGAGCTAAAATGGTGACGAAAAAAAGGTCAAACTCTGAAAAACTGGTCAAAGAGAATAAGGATTGTAAGCGATTGAGGCTTTGAAAAGCTAACACGCGATTTGGTTAAACAGCAAAGTTAAGGAAAAAAGCAAAGTGCATTCGGGCTAGTAAATATGGTCAGCACCTACTAGCTGAAGAGAAATCAAAAGGCTGGGATCACTGCCTCGACCTACTAAAAAGACCTAAAGCACAAGATTGTTAAGAATTGGAGTGTATGAATAACATGCTTTTAGAAGCACTGACAAAAACACAGAAAGATGAATAGTTATTAGAGTGATAATTTGTCAGTCATATCTGATTTTCGAGAAATATGTTGCTTGAGATGGCAATGAATTCTAAAAAATATTTGTTGAAACAAACCCTAGGCACTTCAGATCAACACATTGGTGCATAACTTCCTAAATACCAACACAATATCAGGTTTTTCCATATTTTTTCCGGTATTTCCAGTAATAAAATGGACAAACTTACTCGGCACCTCCGGCACCTTGAAACGTTGCGTCACTTCTGCTCTTCGGGGTTTAATTTTTCTCGGCGCAGAATTTTCATTTGGTTCCTCAGTTTCAACTTCAGATTTGATGGGTGCAGACCTAATTCTAGGCACTAGAACATTCGCACCGTAAAAGGAAATCTCTTACTGCGCCTAACCATATGTAAACAGCGTCAGACGGGGAGTTTATACTCTCCAATGAAAATTAAATATCGCACAGCAGCAAAATCATCATAAGTAAATATTGTGACGTGGTTTGAGTTAACTAAGACACTTATATCCATTAATTTACCAAAGATAAATTTTACGCAGTTAGGGTTTTACTTTGCGCCTAGTATGTTAAGCGCTGTTGTATTTATGACTCGATTTAAAGCGTTTGTATCATATTTAGCGCGTCAGATTGCAAACTTGGTGTTGGTGTTAAAGCTGTGGGAGCCGGCTGATCCGTGCCTTGGAAATGTACTAAATTTTGTGATTAGAACTACCAGATATACGGTTTTTAGTTCCTTTTGGTTCGCGGTTTATGTTGATTAATAATGTAGTAACACTCGACTTCGCTACATTAATGTAGCGTTGTTATGAACTGACGAGCATTGGCATGATTCCGGTCAGTAAAATCAGCATTTGATTTACATTCTGCTCTTTTCTCGTTCGGTTTTTTTTCAGGGTATCCAACTGGCGTGTCCGGGGCGATCGATTCCTAGTTTTCGTCTGCACATTCCTCGCCTACGCCCTCATGCACGCCACCCGCAAGACCCTGAGCTCTGTAAAGCCCCTAATGATTGCAAATCTTGTCGGCCACATGGATAACACCAACATTACCCTCCACCCACAAGAACTCTGGTACAATGCGCACCCCGTGTTTTCGACTGCAGATGACGCCGCCATTTTCATGGGCACTCTAGACTTTCTTTTCCTCCTCTCTTACGCTCTCGGTCTGTATGTAACCGGTTGGCTTGGTGACCTTTTTGATCCACGAAATGTTCTTGCCGGTGGGATGTTTGGCGGTGCTGTCACAACCTTTCTATTTGGAGTTCCATCACAATGGGGCCATTTTTACAATCGATATTGGTACGGAATTCTCTGGTTCATCAACGGATTTCTTCAGGCGCCCGGATGGCCAGCTGGTATTTCTCTAGTTGCGCACTCCTTCCCGTCTGCTCGCGGTCTAGTTCTTGGTCTTTGGTCCACCTCAGCTGGGGTCGGCAACATAATTGGTGCTCTTCTCTCCTCTGCTGTCATCGATTATGGCTACGAGTTCGTCTTTTTCACTGCCTCATGCCTTCTCGCTGGTGCAATCTTTCTTGTGCTTGCTGGAGTCCCTACCGGGATCGTTAGAACAGCTAAGCCTGAACAAACTACCGGGAGTGATAACCATGTCCCTCTATATCGTATATTCTGCCTCCCTGAGCTGATATGCTATGCGTTGGCTTATGCCGGTCTCAAACTCGTGAACTACTCATTCTTTTTCTGGCTACCATTCTATCTTCATAACAAATTTAACTGGGATGCTGGAACTGCGTCTGCCCTTTCAGCGTTCTTTGACCTCGGTGGACTGTTCGGTGGAATTGTCGGCGGTGGAATTTCCGATCTACCTTGTGTATCGCGGAACTGGGTCAATATAGTATTCCTGATGCTCTGTGTGCCCTGTCTCCTGGTCTACCGCAACACACCGGGCAGTCCATGGGCCTTGAATGGTTTTGTGATGGGAATAACAGGCTTTATGATCGCTGGACCGGCTAATTTATTATCAGCTGTGGTAGGGACAGATTTAGCAGCTTTACCACAGCTTCAAGGAAGGCGAGTGTTATCAACGATGACGGGGTTTATTGATGGTACCGGCAGTTTGGGAGCTGCAATGGGCCAAATTTTGGTACCGGTTTTGCAAGCCAGGCTGGGATGGGATTGGGTCTTTCATCTCTTTCTCATTTGTTGCATTCTGACTCTTATCTTTGTTGCCATTCCGTTATGTATTCGCTGGGTTTCAAGTCGAGGTAGTATCGTGGAGGAACTGGCACCTATTATTGCGGAGGAATGACTTATTCAAACATCTTTTATCAATCAAACTGTGATGTTACTTTTTACCAGTGATAATTTTAAAGGTTTCCTAGAGATTGACACTGATTAAAAAATATACTTATTGTTCGAGAAATGGCTTTATTTTGGAATTGTGGGAGCACAATTTTGCCTTTGTTGTGGATGTAGTCTGGACTTCTGGGCTATCCTGATGAAGGAGTCGCCTTTGTGCACCGCCTTGAGGTGTTATTTAAGAGCTATGCTGTTGAAGGCGATGAACCAACAATGTTCGAAGAAGTGAGTACGGAATGCTAGAATAAAACGTCATGGAAAAGCAGATGTGAGTTCTATCACAGTCTCATCCACGTCTTTCAGTCAGTTAAACTTCGTATTTTGGATGAAAGTAAGTGACAACGGAAGCGTCAGTAGACCTGAATGATTTGGGAATGTCAATTATGGAAGTGTTTTACCTGGACTATGTGAAGGCATATGAATGATGTGGACGAACAATACCTTTACACCTCTGTTCCAAAAGGTCTGTTTATTACAACGTAAGGCTAATTCCGACTGTCGTAGTGATGCCTCAGCAACGAAGGAGCCTTCAGAAGGTCAGTTCTAACCAGAACACGAACGGATGAAGTAGTCCTCAAGTCATCAAACGTAAAGCGGTTAAACTGCGTCAGTGTGACCGAATGACACGTCCTGTCATTGGCAAGTTTGACCACTGCTTTTGTAGCAGAGGTTTTGAGGTCTGGCTCGTTTAGTAATTCGGCGATTCACATTCTGGCAATGACATGTAGTTCTCGACATCGACGTTTTGGTACTATTTGGAGGACTTCAACACTTTCCTCATCGCTTGTATTTCCTGATAGCACTTTACAAAGTAGTTTTCATCTTTTCTTTGCCTTCACCAATTATCTGATCACTTACCAATTAGAAAAGATACTGTGGATGTACATGTGAGGTAGGTTCGGTGGTAGCTAGGATTTGAGAGGGGGCTTTCTTCCTCTTATGGATAAAAAATACACTAATTTACTTGTCTGTCACGCACCTTCAGCTTTCCACGCTTTGCATCGGCGTCCTGGTGATACTGATGGCAGATATCCTCAAAAGCCTCTCAAAAGCGGTCAAAATAGATCAACTAAAGACTCAAAATGACTGTTTTACTATTGTCCACTAGATCTGCGTGGACCTGTTAAGACGACAAGAGGATTGTTTAAAGCCCTACTTTCCACCTACTATTAACTCCAGCAAGGTTAACTCGGGCGGTCGGTGCGACGGTAATCAGCCGATTTTAAAGAATAAACAAACCACCCATAGCTACTCTGTTTTCTTTTGTCCAGTTTAATAGCAAATCACATTTTGTCTGTGAGAATAAATTTCTTAAGGAAGGTGAGTTTTATGCTCTCTTTCTGGAACACGTGGCGTCTTAAATGAGCTACTACTAGTCACTATCTCTTGGACCCAGTTTCATTCAACAAGAACAGAAAGGTTGCCTGTGAAGCCTTTATCTTTGCTTTACAAAATAGAGAGATCTTGAAGTACCCTCTTCTCCTTCATCTCTCCTTTTTTCCTTATAGTCTTCTTTCCCTACTCTAGACCCATCTACCACTAGCCTTCCCTTCACTTCACGCCTCAAATGGAGTCGAATGTGCAAGGCAATCCCAGTGCCTTAAACTTGCTGGAGTACGTCTCGTGAACTTCATCATTAACTGGATTCAAGTTCTCCAAATCCGTTAAAATCAACTCCTGAAGTCGTTCAAACACACGCTCAATACAATTGATGTAGGTTATATGAATGGCCTGCAGATTGATTTCAAAGAGCCGACGACTTTCTCCCAGAGATGCTTCTAAATTGTCCAATTTCTCTGTCAGCCGGCAGATAGTTTCATTAGATTCTAACAGCAGACGCTCGGAATTTTGTAATTGAGTCTGCAGGCTGAAGAGTGTAGCTCTAGCCTCGGCTTGAAACGACTTCAGCGATGTCAAAATAGCAAAAATGACCTGTTCCAAGTCATCAACTATCATCTGCGACTGTTGTTTCAGTTGTAGCTTATTTTGTTGCATCTTTCTCACCGCTAAATCGGACTTTTTGTTCACCTCTTCTGAGCGACATGCTCGGAAAGTAAGTAGACGTGCTATGAGTTGAAGTTTCTCAATTTGTAGCAACAACTGTTCCTCATTCTGTGGGGCGGAATTTTTCGCTGAGGCCTTTTTTGACATGATTTTGGCTTCTTGCTTGTCGTTCTTTGCTTTTTGTTGATACTCTCTACAATGACCGTGTTAAATTGACGTCTCCAAATTCACTGGTTACTTTCAAGGTTCCTCGATCGATTTTTTTCCTCTAATCGCCATTGGCTCACATCCGCCTGCGAAATATGATTTCGTGGGGATTTAAAAATTTACATTTGTTTAAGGTCTTCCGACTTTATTTCTTATTGGACTATTTAAATCTTTAAAATATTTGTAAACGAGGTTAACTTAGTCCATAAGGATAATTAAATACACATAGGCATGCGTGTTCATTTCCAAGCGTTCTTTTTGCTAAGAAGGTGTTAATAGGGCTAGACTAGCCAAATATGGCATAACTTCGATATCCCTAGTTGTATCGAGTTGGTAATAAAAAAGGTACAGGCAACTCCCTGGATTTCGCGAATACCCCCGCAGGATGAAGTTGCCAATCTGGGCAGCTCATGAATCCTCGAGTCACATTTGGAAAAAAACCCATGAGGACGTCAAGTGCGTGTAAATGGAGTGATAGTTTGTCATTTTTACCAGAGCATCAGTACATTATAGGCCGGGATGTGAAGTTCACGTTGACCGCATGATAAAAGTGGGTGCTTTGGAATTACACAACACGAAATGTAACTGTCAAGAAATTCTCCCAAATTATTTATTTGATTTCAAGGGAAAATATTCCAGTGCACTTTTGTTCTAGATTAAGAGGTTAGAAAAGACTACTTCGTTTTCTCTATCTTTACGTTATGTAACAGGAAAAGAATTTGTACGTAGCCGCAAATTTTGGGTCAGGTCTTAGCAGTCGCCTCAGAGGTTGCAGATTGGTGCTTTTGGTGGTGGTGTTTATGACGGTCATGCCGGTTTCGTCGTTTACTCCGTTCCATTTCGCCTCCGCATCTTCTGCTGCCCAGGTTTTCGAGTAGTAAAGAGTGGTTCTGATTGGTTGCAGGTTCAGTTTTGGCCTCCTGGGGTACCTTCGTTATCATCGCATTTAGATGAGCCAATCTGAAAAAGATTTAAGAGGCAAATATTTTACTAATTTTCCGCTCATGAACCTTTTTGGTTGGTGTCTATTTATGAGTAGAATACAGGTTATAAAATTAGGAATTGTTCCCAACATTAGATAATTCTGATTATGAGTTCTGACCATGTCTAAGCTCAATACTCACGCATCACCATCGGGTGGCTTCGGTAAATCCTTATTAAAGCCATCTTTTCCAACCAACCAATAGGAGTCGACCTCGCCTTTACCTCGGAGAAAAACCTTTCCCCTGTGCTCCAAGTGGTAGCCACCAAGCTCATCCAAAATGGCCTTGGCTGGGGAACTCACGTGGATACGAAATGCTGCAGGGAAAAAGAGCAACACTGGTTAAATAATGGACCAATAACTGTGAAGAGCATTTACACAAAAAAACTGATGCTAGGCTATTTCATTTTATTGGCATGAAAAGCACAAAAATCATCATAGACAGCAGTGAATTATAAGGTAAGATACCAAAATCAGGTAAATAATTGCTTTACCAGCAAAGATTACGAATAAATTCAGTATTTACGTATGAGGGAGGGACCAAATCAACACTGGCAACTATAGGTTTTGAAATAATTCAAAGGCAACCAATAAGAGGCATGGTTTGGGTACTGGCATTCTATTGACTAATTTTTGACTCCTTGTGCCAAAAACTTGCATTTGATTGGATAATTTACGTTTTGGGGCAAGTGCTAGACTTGGCTACTTACTTTGTAAGAAACACTGCCAGTGTCATTTTTAAAGACTTCTATCTTTTAAGTACATATAGAATTTTTCGAGGTTTCCCGCATATCTGGCTAGTGTGCCATGTTGTAGACTAGACTTGCAAAATGCGTTCATGGGGTCATACGCATACATTATAAAGGGTTATGATGAGTCAGTTCATCGGCCTGGTACTCTAGTGTGCTCTTGGCTACTTCTCATTGATCTTAAACCTCTCAAAAATGACTCGGTCTTTCCCACGGAATCTTCGTATAGAAGTCAACGCTTAGTGCTTGAAAGTGATGTTGAGGTAGAGCGCATCACAGAGAAAAGAACCTGTTTCCATGGAAAATTCACTGGAAGTGAGATGCGTCAAGTGGGAGAAAACAGTCTATCCTTGCTCAAGAATAGAGGACGAAGACCTAATGAAACAGAGAAGTGGGGGGTTTAAACACAACTGTGGGGAGTCAAAAAAGGCAAAACTTGCCATGCTTGATTAGGCCAATCACATGTCCGGTTCAAGGACCTCACCTGTGCTGGTGGATTCCATCCTTGAAGCCGTATTGACTGTATCACCAAAGAGACAGTAGCGTGGCATTGTCAAACCAATTACGCCGGCTACACAGGGACCTGCAAAAGGGCAATGTTCAACTTCTAGGTCTCTGTATTAACGAATGGTAGACAATTAATAGCAAGAGCTGTGAATCTGTACCTTACCTTTTTTCCCACCAAATAAAACAATACTGCGCAATTTGGTTTGTTTGTTTGTTGACAGTGTCGCATCGTTTGACCCTTTTCTCCACTCCCAACCTCACTATTTGATTCCCACAAGACTATGCTCTCTTTGGATGTATTTAAGGGGATATTGCAAAGATAACTATTACCATCGAAACGTTCAGTTTTAAAAGGCCAGACAAGTCCCCTTGATAGAGGCTGATGGTGTACAAAGTTTGGTGATTGAGTGACATTTTCACATAGTACCAGAGGATCTGCCACTTCCTTTCTCAAAATCGACTAGTGAAAAGATTCCATATGAAATCTTGTGTTGAAGAGGAGATTGTGCTTCACTTCATCCTCCATACTACCCTGATGACACTCCTCCAACTAACAACTGACATTTTTGGGCATTCAAGGCAAAGGAAAAAGATAGCCATTTTATAGTTTCTCATAACTTTAAGAGAAGCCCCTAGCCATAATACTAGTGCACAAATGTTTTGTTCTCGGATGAATGACATGTCTACTCTCTTGTTGTGAAGTTTGATGGGGAGGTGGAATGAACTTTGGTATCCGGGCTTTTCAAATCTCATCATTACTTATAGCAAAGTCCGTGTGCACCACTGCATCATGGAGGCAATAAAGCCCACTTTATAAATGGAATGTGGCGATTCACCATTCATTATGAATTTCAAACTGGTATCACCAGGCTGGACATTTACAAGAATTTCTCGAACGCTGAGATAAACATAGCGACGTAGCATCCAGATACGTGGGAAAAACTACAATCTCCTCGCTTTGGCTTTTGTTTGTTCCTTGTGTGAACCCAGAAAACCCGACTGCGATTGGACGTGTATTATGCGTTTAAAAATGGGATGCACCTAATAATTATTGACTAAAATTGCGGTTGGAGCACCATATCAAAATGGATGAACACTATTTTGGGGAAAATTTACACCCGTTTCAATGAATAGCAATTTTTAAACACGTCACTTATATCTTCTATGCAAGAAAAGAATATAATGTAAATAAAGGTAGGCCTTCCTTCAAGTAATAAAACAACAATAATTAGTTTGCGTTTCTACTTCGAAAATATAGAATTTTCCGCTCTTTAACACACTGAGTAATATTTTTGAATATCTAAGTACTCTACTTACTATTGCTTTGAACATTATTGTAGTTTATTCGTTCATTTAATGAAATGCACTGTCTCGAGCCGTGTTTACGAAGCATACCAATTCAAAATTTTAGAACATAAATCGCGCGCGCGAAGTTATATCGCACCAATTAGTCTGCGATCAACCAATCATCGGAGCCCATAATACCTCTCACCGATCACAGCTTGGATTTACACAAAAATTATTAAAAATGACAATAAAATTTGCCTAACAGCATACCTGAGTTGATTCCAAGCCGCAGATAAAGGGGGACTCCCGGCATGTGGGGGATGTGAAAGGATCCGCTAATGCTAATCAGTTCCAGGGCCATTGTTGCAATTTCACCGGCGTGTTTGCGTCCATTTCGAATGGGCAGACCAGACGCGACCATGTAGGCGTCACCGATGGTTTCAACCTAAGTACCAAACAATTACTTCTCTGGTTTTTCAGTCACTCACCTTGTAAACATCAAATGTCTGAATCATATCATCAAAGGCTGTGTAGAGGTCATTGAGTAAATTGACAATTTGTAGAGGTGAGGACTTGGCTGAGATTGTGGTGAATCCAACAATGTCACTAAAGGATATGGTCACCTCAGAGAAGGCCTCAGGATCCACTGGTGTACCAGATAGAAGTGCCTGAGCAACAGACCTGGGTAAGGAAAAGGAGAAGGCTTTCAATTTATTTGCATTTTGACGGTATCTAATCCTATTGAAGGAGGTATTAGCGCGCTTTTTTCCGCATATGTTGGTGGACCGCTTTATTCCACACGTTGGGCACGCTTTGTGTGTGACATGTTAGGGGAACAATGAGGTCTACCAGTTCGACACAACAAAAAAGTGCACCGACAAGCACGACCTTCAGAAAAAGGCAGACACCCTTCTGTGCTTGCTTGATCACACTTGAGACAAAACAGAACAAATTAATTGGAACACCTTGTACTAAACTCAGGGAAACACTTTGACGATTTAAGTAGCAACATTCAATCCACATTTTAAATGTCTATATAAGTGGACTTACAGTTGATCAGTTACTTTCCTGTACTTTTGTCGATATTTAAAAGCTTCAAAGTTCTGACTATTCTTTTCAACACCTACTTTGTGTAAATAAGTGGACTCACGGAGGAAGCATTTTGGCGATAAGCATTTCTGTCTTTTGCTTTTCCACTTGTAACTCTTCTGTGCGTTGATTCACCAGACTCTCAAGGTTGGCCGAGTACTTCTCCATAATTTGGAGCATGTGATCAACGATGTTGGAGTTGCTAGAGGTTGAAGAGTATAAGCAGACATGACGCCTCTTGCCTACCTGCCCTTGGAAAGTTGGTTAAGTTGGGCTTCTAACTCGCAAAATGTTGGTCGCAGCTTGGGATTCTCCGACCACGAGAGCTGTACCATGCCCATGTAGGCTGCAGGCACATCCACATCTATAAACTGAATGAATGCATTAGAAAAGAGGATGCTTAGGAAAGCTAAAGGTTTGGATGTTTTTTCTCCAAGTAAGGGACTTTTCTTTCTGGTTTTCAGACGATGAAAACTAAACAGACAATTCTGTTGATGGGATGTTAAGGTAGTCCCTGAAAGAAAGTCAAATAACTTCCTTCTAGTTAGGTTCAGTCGGGAATCCTGGTACTCACACTGGGTCGGTAAGTTGGCAAAGAATCATCATTTCGTTGGATTCGTTGAAGCGCGGCCTCAACAGCCTCATTATCGTTGGGATCTATACCAAACGGCGGGGTACAAGAGAAGGTCTCATGCATCACCACACTTGCCGCGTACACATCCGCCTCCTGACTGCCAACCTCGGCGGCTAAGGAGTTGCGCAGCATTTCTGGTGCTAGATAGAGCTTTTCTAAAGACCAAGAGACCAAACGGTTGCACAGCTTTAAGTCCTGATGATAACGACACTTGGGAGAAAAAAGGTGCTGCGATAGTAGCAACGGTGAGCAATTTCCACCTAGAATGGCACATATCCTGATCTCCTTGACTGATTATTTCCAGACCTTAAACTCACAGAAGGGTCGCTATAACCTGCGCAGACCCACTGCAGACGTTTTATGGAAGGCTCTTCTACAAAAGCCGCAGTAACCGATAACGCAGTTGCATTAGTTCACTTTAAACTGTTAACAAAAGCAAGAATTTTACAGCTTTACATCATCAACTTCGTTACCCGTTGCATTTATACATCCAGAAACTCGGCAGAAAATTGGCAAGTTCGTCTTTTTATATTAAAGTATAAAATATCCTAGAAAAACTAGTCTCACCAGCGGGAGTTCTAGTCGGAAAGTGGTTGTACATAGAATAGATCTTCTGTAGTCCATAATCCGTGACCTTGAGCACCCATCGGTTGTCAATTACACAAGTCTCAGAGGTCAGGCATCCGTGAATAGCGAGATCACTTTTGTGGAGGTGGGCCATGCCCTGTGGAGTGGAACCATTGAGGGCGAATGAGAGCTTAGGTGGGGCCCAGAGTAAGGGTCTGTTTCGCAATTTTTGACTACTTACGTAGAAGCCTGCCTTCTTTAAAGTACTACTGAAATCAGTGGGGCATGAGGTGAATTTTTAAGCATTAGCATTCTCTATGGAGAGGGTTTTGCATGAATTTAGTAGTTGACTATCTACTTTAATATAAATCTGAGCTCTTCAGGCCCCGTTTGGTGTGCTTCACCTGGCAGCATGAATTTCGCCTTTGCTATTTCTAACATCCAAACAAAATTTTGCATTATTTTACACTATGAATCAGTCCTAAATACCGGTTGCCAAGGCGCACTTAGCAACATAAATGAACAGAGCGAACAAATCAAAGGAACTTTTTTGTGATAATTTATAAAAAGTGAGTGACTGAAAGGAAGCATCTACTTAGGTTTTGCTAGTAAAAGGTTTCTTGTTGCCAAAAACTTACTCGAATTAAATCAGTGACTAGCGACAGCTTGAATTCCCAATCAAGATTGATTGATTTGCTGGACAAAACCGACTAAATTGAAAGATAAACATTGATTGCTTTAAAGATTTGACTTTAGTTAATATACTAATTCTTTGAAAGAATTGATACCCTTAAGCTGCCTCGACTGCATTCCTCGTAGACAAAGCTGAAGGAATCAGCATCGACATAACAGCCAATGAAGAGGTTGAGGTTTTCATGACGGAGTTCTCGCAGACTCCGCAGATACTCCACCATTTTTGCTTTCAGAGTGATTGATGGCAGACCCAGCTGCTTGATGTGCAAAAATGTTCCCTATAAGAAGGGAGTTGATTATTTACTGCATAATAAATGTGAGTAGAAGAAATTTTGTTTTGTAAAGAACAAAAAAGTTAAACATTGGCTCTTGCATTGTCATCATAAAATGGGTACAAATTAGGTCAAAAGGGTCAAAAGCGTACATTAAAAATCGCGACTCTTTTAAAAGTATGACGCGGTTCAGCGCCAGAGATTGAAGAGGCCTCCTCGCCCGCGTCTGTCTCGCTGTCTGCAGATGCCTCCGCATGCTGACTGCTTAGTGCACTAGGAGGAAATATCTGACTAACGGAAATCTAAAAACAAGGAAGGCGAAAACCATAAAATTTCCTTCATTTGTCTTTGCAGTTCGTTGTGAAGAGAGGTTGTACTTGTTGTGGGAGTTCAACCGTGTACCTCGACCATAAAACATGGATTCTTCATCATTCTACCCCATCGGGTGCTATGAAGCAAACAAAATCGGTTTCATGTTAATAAGATTCCAAAAGCCGTAGACATTCCTTGCGGATTCCGGTGTGGTGGCAGGTGACACTCGGAAGTAGTTCAAAAGTTAGGAAAGACTCCTCATTCTCGTAAAGTAGGGAATAGCTTCTTCAATATTGTTACGCTCTTTTGAGGCTCATGTGACATGAGTGAGTGTGAAAGGATGCGAATGAAGTAAATCCACACTGTAATGACGAAACCTTGGCGGAAGCCACGGGAACCACGTTGGCAAGCATTGACGACAAGCGAAAACACTCCCTAATCTACCACTTTGTCCTTTACTGTTTGCACTTTATTAGACCAGGTCATATACAGACCGTTTGCTCTTCAGATAGAGGCCTATCTGAAACACATCTTGTCTTTAATCAGGATGGCTGGACCACGATGAATTTATCCAAAGGCCTACTCATGAAGGATGGGAGTCGATTAGCAATCCGCTTTTTCCTTTGCGTCGCTCCTCCTCCAAAATTAAATTAGTAAGTAAAGAAGCAGATCTAAGGAAAAAACAACCTCAGCGTAAGAGCACCGATGAATATTTTGCGATCCGAGAAAAGTAACATCGTCGGGATAGAGAACAAGTTTGTTTGAACCCATTCGCAGTTTCACAGAGCGGTAGTGGCGCCTAATAATGTGAAAAGAAGGGGGATAATAACGCTTTTTACAGAACAGAGGTCGTCATGTCATAAGTCATCAATCTGCCAGGTAACTCGGCGCGCGCAAGTAGGAGGACCGACGAGTTGGCTGTAAACAGCACTCAGGCCAGCCAACCTCGTTGACAGTTTTGACACTTTCTAGTAGGGTCCGCTTTTCGATGCAGCTACGGTGCTTACGCAATTCTACATATTTTAAAGCACAAAAGATGAATAAGAAAAAGGACCTTTTTATTGATCTGTCAACCACTGGCATCGATAGTAAACTGATCATCGCAGAATTGCGGGGGTTAGACTAAACTCCTTCTGCTTTCCGCTATCTATTAAAAAGGATAACTTAGGTTGAGGCATAATAAGGCTAAGGTCGCTTTAGGTTGTTGAGAAAGTATGCGGCGCTTTCGGCTTATCGCGCTGCGATAAACTTTTGTATGCTGTAGACTTGTTCATTTGCATGTCATACCACTAATGCTCTACCTTCATCGCATACCCCCAACTCCTATTTCACCCAAGTCTGATAATATTTGACAGCTCGGTGCCAAATTCCTCCTTTTTGAATGACTACCGTTTGCTCCTATCATTCGACAACGGCATGTGAAATTGACAAATAAAAAATAAAAATTTCTTTCGCCCTTAGGGAGGCTTTTTGTGAAAAAGGACAAAAAAGGAAAATTTAATTTACGGATATTTTTTACCTACCTAAAAAATAAGAAAACGACTACTGTAATCATGCCGGCTGCTCCTGCCATCAAAAGTAGCAGAACCAGGATGTTGACAAGTGTTTCTGAAAATAGAAAATGGTAGATAAACCCCAGATTTGACAGAAAAACGGAGCAGTACTGCTTCCTAAACGAACATCCTTCGTGACAAAAGGATTGGACTGACGAGACCATGTGACAAATCAGTCAAAATCCGAAGCTGTGTTTTACCACCTTTGTCGGATTTAAGGTGTCTGTCTCAGATTGTCCAGTCTGACTATTTAGTTTTAGTGGGCTGGAATTTTGTTCCTAAATATATAAACCTTCTTTTATTTTTATAACCTGCCGGATCTGTTCTATGTGGATGATAAACAGTCCGAACAAATAACCTTAATTAGACGTCAAGTTGTTAACCTCTATGATTAACATTTCTCATTGTAACTTGACAAAGACATGGCAATTCCTTCTGCCAGCTCACCTTCAAGGCAATCTGATTGGAGGCAAATGTCAACAGCGGGACCTTTGCCATCACCTGGCCACTTTTTGGGTTGGACCTCGTAGATAAATGATCCCGGAGCTGGCATTACACAGACGAGTTCAAAGAGTTCGTAGAAGTGTGCTGTGTCAATCTTGAATGACTTAGCGTATATATTGCTCGTATTTAACTATAAAAGGAAACGGAAGAATGTCAAATTGAGGGTGGAAATTCTGCCTATTAAAAGAAACCTTTTTATACGATGGCTAAAATGACTTGTCAACTCCTTTTAAAGGACATGAATTATATGCAAATTTACCGACGACTTCAAAACCCACAAAAGGTGAGTGACAACAAAAAGCTCAACGGTAGAAGCGCTACGCTGAGGAGGACACGTACTATGGATGGGAGAGAGAAACTGCTTCAACCCATCCTCCATAGTCCTCTACTGGTACATTACAAAAGGTTTTTGTCTACCCTTGACATTAAAAGAAAAATACAAAAGTGAGATAATGACGAAGGCTGCTGAAGATAAATTCACTTATTTTAGAGAAAAATCAGAAATTCGTAGTTTGAAGCAAAGAAACATTAGAAGCAATACAAGACCTTATTCTACCACCCCTTAAATCATTACAACGTACAATTAAGCATAGCTGTCAAAATCTCTCTTCACCTACTACTACTGCCACTTCTTGTTATTCAGAATCTATTAGGCTCAGATTTTTACGAACTATTCACTTGGGGATTTCAGGAAAAATCTCTTTTGTTTAAAACTTTTCACTTTTGACACTTAAGCAGTGCTAAAATTTGGAATAGCTGAAGTTAAAATCATACTTGAACAAGACTTCAGATTCCACTTTTTTGCAAAATCATTTACTACGTTAATAAGCTAAGCAAAGTTCTTCCTGCATATTTACAAGCACAAAAAAGTGAAGGCATCGACTTTTAAGACATCAATTTAAATCCATTCTTAACATTATCCTCGTAACCTGGTTATTTGCTATTGAAGTCTTTAAAGCGTACTTTGTGAGGGATAACTCATACTTCCCACTGTCCTTAAAAAGTGAGAATTTTAGAGCTACTAAGTTTATAGTTAATAATGCCACATTCGCATCGAATTGGTGCGTTCAAGCTGCCGAAATCACTTCGAATCCACCACCATCATGGACATCCAGTCATATCTATTCCTTCCTAGGCCTTCTCTTAGGAGACCATGGGAACAGGAAACTTACCTGGAAGTTGTAGATGTCAAACAAGTTGTTGAAGTAGCCACCGTCTTGCACAAAGTGGTAATCCACATCTGGTACCACAGGAACGCGAAGGTGTTTAGACATCATTGGAGCAAAGAAGTTCGCATCGAGAGGAATTTTACCCCCGTAGTCAAGCAACGACTGCTGCACCATCTTTAGTGCTACGGCGACTGCGGAGGCAAAAGATATCATCGTGTTCTGTCAAGGTAAGAAATTGCTTTCAAGCTGACAGTTTAACCTTTGAAAGCCTCATAAAACAAAACTTTTAAAAGCACATGCGATTGTTTACCTTTGCCACAAAGTCCATGTACCTTTTCCGACTTATGTACTTTTTCCTTTGGCATCAATAAAAGCTGGGTGAGGCTGAAATTACTTTGGGGCACTTATTTTAAGAATGGAATTGTGGCTAAGCGATAAAAGAGGGAGTACTAGTTAGTGCCCTCTACTAGAAATGGTTTCACAGCTTTCACACTGCTAAGGAAAAAAGCACCCCAATGGGAAAAATCCCCCACTCTTGAACATAAAGAATTGCCATTCACTACTGACACCTTAATTTGAGAATGTAATGTTGAGGGAAATTTGTAGACATATTTAACGTGAGTGATGAGGCAGCGCCATGGAGACCGAGTGGATGGGACCTCCGTTTCTCCTCCCCATAATTTTCAATAGGCAGCGTGCATTTTAAACTCTTTATTGACAAACTGGATTGTAGTAAAGCCGTCATTCAATGCACCATTTCATTTTTGGACAGTTTTAAGTTTTGTTTATTGAAATGTGGATAGCACTGCTCAATTCAGATGTTCAGTAATATATTTTAATAAGTAAGGCTGAGATATGTCTTATTGACACAACTGTCAGCTGTAAAAGGTAAACCTATGCAGAGGTAGCCATGACTGATCAATCACTCGGTTGCATGCCCTCCGCTTCTAGGACAACTTGAGAGCGCATGTCGCCTCATGAAATGGAGGATTCTACGTCTTAGTCTCTCCTAATTTCTCCAAGCAATCAAACACTTCTTAGCACTTAAAATAACACATGGTCACATGTTAACTATTTTGAAATTAAACAAATCACATTTTGTCACATTTTAGAGCCAAAACTGGCAGGAAAGTGGAATTTTACTTCATCTCGTTGAGAAAGGATTATAGCTTATAGTGTTAACTATTTACGTTAAAAATGTTCTCTTTGGCCATCCATAACCGAAAGTTTTCATTTTACTAGAAAGGCGCAAAAGCTATTTTCTTAGAGATGCTTTTTACAAACTACCCACATGAAAATCACAATCATCAATATCTAACAGAACTTTTTTCTTAATACGCTTAAGCAGCATTAAAGACAGAATTGTAGTTGTTAGTTTATTTATGGCATTAATTAATTAGTGCAGAAAATTTTACGACCCAGCTAAGTTTCCTGTTTCAGCAGGCAGTCGTTTCAAAAAACCGATCAAAACAAATGGTTCCTGCTACCCTCCACATCTGGAAAACCGTGATGAGGAAATTCAAACTTTGCGTTTGGAAAATTGTCAAATAAAATGGTTCAGCTACAAATATTGTCTAAAACCTACTATAATCCCAATATTTATCTCCTATTCTCTTTTATGGGGAATCCTGAACTCTGTTAATACCTCTATTATGAGGTTCATGATGAACGTACATTAACACTATTGCGGCTTCTATTAGGATTGGTCAACCACAAATAAAGACTTCACAAAAGTCCAAAGAAAGTTCTTCAAGCCTATTACAGAGAAGAATATACATATGCTCATGCTACTTTTAGCACATTAGTAAATCAAAATTAGTCATACCCATCATCGAATAACATTGATGGAGTTTTACAGGGAGTAGAGGTGCATACTCACAGACTGAAGTATAGGGGAAAATGCGTCGTATCCTTTTCCCAAGGGCAAAGCAGTGATTATTATCAAGCTCTGACCCGCAGCACCCAATTGAGGCCTTCGGGAGAGTTCAAGGCGCCAGGAGCGTAGCACATCGTATGTGATTACATTGGAAGGATCCAAGTGTAGGAGAGCAACGCGACCTGCTTTGATCTGTGAAAGATTCTGGATTTGATCCAGTAGGTCGATGACAATCGGTGGTCTTGCAAGAATGATGATTGCTGAAGTAAGAAGAATAATGAAGCGTCTTCCATCGAACCTGGAAAGGACTCTGTAATGCATTCACTTTAGTCATCCCGCTTCCTAAATGTTAGTCTAGTTTTTCGATTGGTTGGTATGTCTACATAAGGGTTCACACACTCTCTTCACTTCACGAACTTCGTGGTCATTACAATTCACTTAGTCTGTTTTCAGCAGGGGCTAACAAATCTCTAGGATTTCACTTTCTGAAGGACTCAGTTATGCAGAGATCTGTGCCTAAGGCTGAGGTGTCGTTAATTTATAAAAACAGAGGCGCAAAAAGGTGACACCGCTCAAAAATATCCATGATTATTTTACGTCTTTACTGAACCAGAATCAGCGCTTCGTTGATGCAAGCACATTAGGCGATTACAAGGTAAAACAAAGCCGTAGTGGAGGTGCTTTCGGCTAGACTCAAACTTAATCTAATCTATTGAGGTAGATGGAGAAATTCAAAGCCCCCTTTAGTAATTTTCGGAGAGGGGTCGTAAATTACCAAGCTGAATTTTGCTGACATGATGAGATACTTGACAAGCCATAAATTCTCACTGTTCCACCTCTTTGTCATTCGCTTCCAAGGAAATAACAATTATTTAGTAAGGTAGTACCCAACGCACCATCTATTTGATCCACCCACTCCATTACCAACTGGTTATAGCTGCAGTCCACATGGATACCTCTCATTGCAATAACCTTTGCTGAAGTCCCCACTCGGTCTTTTGCATCAAATGCCAGATCAAGCCTATCTGCCATCCAGAATAGTGGCATCATTTTGGCACTAATCTCATAGAGCAATAGCACCCTTTTCCAACCCTGGAATCCCAACAGAGACTCAAAGATATTTATCACCGATTGCACTTTTAGAGTCATTGTTATTGCAGCCCATCGTACAGCTTCCTCCTCTCCTGCGTATAAATCCCCGATATGTTTCCCAGCCGGATCTGTTGCTGGACAGAGATAATTTATCTGGTGTGGCTTCAGCAGCCAAGGAATTGACGTTGAAGTTTGAGTCATCCAACCAGAAATGAAGGTGCAATCTCCAGCTAATGGAGGACCCACAAAAACTGTGAAACATTTGAACTTGTCAGCCAACTTTATTAAGTTCGCCAGTGACTCAAGAAGGTGGTATCCGCGATTATCTTCACGTATGTTGCAACCGCCAATAAATTGAGGGATGATACGAACTTCGGTAGGGGAGAGAATGGATGGTTGGAGGGAAGTCACGTACTGAAGAGTATTGTAAACAGACTCATTGTTACTAAAAATGGTAGAATAGGCGAGACAGCTGTTAGCGCTTTCAAAATAAATTATTTGTAGCTTTGGTTGAGGGTTATTAGCGGCGATTGTAAGAGGAAGGAAGGAGAAGAGGAGGAGGAGTCGGAGAATAGGGTCGACCATGCTTTATAGTAGGCAATCTTTGATGGAATGCAGAATGTAGTTTATGTAAGTAATTAAAAAGGAGTATTAGACAAGAAACAGTTAACCAATCAGATTTCGGGGCTGACCAATGAGATTGGGGGTTTTGATTTTGGGTGAACTCTTATCAGACGAGTAAATAACTTGTTATTTTGGTGAAATAATTTTGTTGTTCTTTGGGCAAAACTTCCCCTATCTGATAGTATCACTTTGAGTCATGCTGCTAAAATGAACTTATTGTAGGTGTTATGAGCCTTTCCATTCAGTTTTAAAGTGGTAGATACTCCTCTTCAAATTTGCTGTCATAGTAGTTATAGTAAGGAAAAGGGTCGTCAAGGTAATGGATCCCACAAAGTTCATAAGGAGATCTTTATTATTTATCACTTTTACAATGTCATTTAATAAGTACTTTTACGCTCACATCAGCTGGGATGGACTAGGTGAAGGCCATCAAAGTGCGAGGACAACACTTTCCATTAGACTATTTTTTTGATCCGTGATCCAAAATATCTTCCACTTTGATAATTTAGGCAGGTAAAAAAGACACTTTGCCCATCTCTGAAGAAATGTGTCCTCTACTCGCTACCTCTTAGGCCTGCACCGCTCTACTTTCTTTCCGCGGTGTACGGCGGGACGGTCAATCAGAGCCAAGTAAGTGAGTGAGTTCCATATCATTCTGTGCTTAACAGAAAAACTTCCCCAGAAGGTGAAAAGAATGTTTTAAATAATTTTTCTTTTACATGTCTTATAAACTCCCTTAACTGGTCAGCTGCCGCGTGAAGACGAAACGGGGTCACGACTAACCAGAACAAGGGAATGGGCTCACATACGAAACTCAAGCACCGTAGTCAGCTGGACTGTGCAGAATATCATATTCTGAGCAAACAAATGTTATGGACATTAGAGAACTTTGTGTGTACCAGTCCTACCGGCGGTTAGAATGGCACGCTTAAACTAATGCCGGTTCTAAGTGAGCCTTATTCTAAAACAGGCGAATGCAAACTTCTGCGTGTAGCTTTTTACTGCATAAAGACCTTCCTATCAAGGAGATGGCAATGAACTCCCTCAACTTTGCTTAGTAAAAGCGATAGATTGGCATGATCCGATCCCTCTCCGAATTAAGTCGTCGTAATTGCATTCACCGTTTTGAAGTCTCCACTTTAACATTTTAAAATAAGGAGGGAGTTCGCAAACCACCTCCCTCGAGTGTTCCCTTCCCTAAAAAAGGAAAAATTTCCCAAATTTCTAAACTATTGTGTATTTTTTCTTTTTAAACTCTAGGAGGAAAAAAAACTCCAAAGAATTGGTGTGAGCCAAAGTCGAAAACAAAGATGTGGGACAAAAAATCGTCACTTATTTTCGATGAGGTATCTGACAAGGTCAAGAAACTCCTTGTCATCTAATTCACCATCACGATTTGCATCGACACGACGAAAGATGGCACAGAGCTCCTCATCATCGACGTCATAATCAGATGCCTCGAGAAGACGTTTAATCTCCGCCAAACTCAACTTTCCGGATTGGTCCACATCGGCGAGCTTAAAGAGATCTCTTGCTCCTTTTGTACTTTTAAGGAGAGAATGAGAAAAAGCACTTATTTGTTATATAGTACATCCAAAAAGTCATTTGGTGTTTAAGCGTTGGCAAATGATCGCTTGAAAGGTTGGTTTGCTGATTGTCAACTTCCCCTGCACCTTATTGGGTGGCTACTCAAAAGTACTCAGGAAGTCCTTTATTTATTTTCAAGAGCATTGGTTCTCGGTGAGCAGGACAGATGTAGTGTGACCTCGTCTGGTTTACGAACCAGATTTACCTCAGTTCTGAGGCTGCAGAAGCTTCTCAGACTGTTTGAAAAGTTGGGGTATGAGGTGGTAGAATGACTAGTCCGGAGCTGTCAAGATTGGCTTCCAGAAATGACTAACCTGTTTGCTTGCACGCACATGTGAAGTCAACTGGAACGTCGATGCTTGAAGGACGAGTGGACGCTTCTTCATCTCCTTCTTCACTTACTGACTACCTGACACAACTCTAAGTGGTTTACACCTGAGGCATGCACCAATCCATTCCCAGGAGATTCTACGTTCTTGGACCCAACTCGAGGCTGCGTGGCTATACCTCAATTTCTTAAATAAGGAGGCAAGATGTCTCACTTCCTCGCCATTAACCGCCTAAAGTTTCGTCCAAAATTAGCCCAATTTTTAATTGCTTTCTCGAATAAAAGGGAAGGGTAGGGCTGGGAAGGAAAAAGGTGAAGGCGGAGAAAGCGTGCATAAACTTACTTCATTTGACGTGTCACGAAGACCTTAATGCACTCGAGAACGGTGTCTAATGGAAGTGTCTTCAGCTCCTCACCCCAAGATGTGCGTGTCCATTTGAGAAACTGCCAAAACAAAAATGAATATTGCCCTTTATGGAACCAACGGGAAATTCCGAAATTTTATTTGTCAATATTATTTTGCCTTAAAAATTATATTCAAGGACGCCGAAAAAATCGATGAAATAGACAAGTTTGGCAAGTAAAAATGTGATGTGAGGGAAGGTTGTGTCTTAGGTGTGTTCTATGTGAAAAAACCCTTCAACACTAGACCCGAAGGCATTGTCAACAAGGGTGGAACACAACCTTTGGCGACCAGAAAGGCTGCGTAGATAAGCACACATTAAAACAAACACCAAAGCACTTAAACACAATTTAAAAGGATTTTGCTACTTTTATCTTACAATTCAATCTTGTCATCTACAAATGTGACCGTGTCATTCTCGGGATAATAAACTGCAACAACTTTACCTATCACTGATATGACAAAATTTAATATTTTCTGTCATGATTAATCAGAAATTCTTTAAAAAAATTAATTGGCATGAAGAAAGTGGAAAATTTTCGACCTCTTCGTAAGGTATACACAAGTCCCGACTCATTTGACGCAATTCTGCAAGTGTAAATATTCCATCCTTGTTTGAGTCGAATTCCATTAGGAGCTGCTTCATTATCATCTCCCTGGATCCTGCCGGGCAGTTGGGATGATGTGAGGTGGTGGCACTGAATTTAAACACGTATGATTATTAATTATCTTATTACAAAATGAGAAACGCAAACTATCCTTTATTTAATCAAAAGTTATGAGTTTCTACTACCCAGGAATGTGTGGTTCGTCTCATCTCCTTCAGAATGATGCCTACTACAACCCCACCTATTCAAGGCATAATGCCCAAAAAAGATGTTACAATGGCTTGTTTGCATGCCTTATGAAGTGAGCAACCTCAAACAGCAACCACTAGACTAATTCAACCGACAAAGGGCTGCATATTTGCGCTGCCTTAATACATGTGTATAAAGGAAACATCCAACCAAAATCCCCACGGACAAATTCGTTCATTAGGAACCTCCACAGCCTATCCTAAGGATAATTTTAAATTTGCCAAGGTTTTTGACTTTCGCACTAAAAAACTAAATTTGATCATCAGTCATCTGTGATGAAATGATTAATCCGACTTTCGGTGTTCTATAAGGTGATTGGCTAGATACTAAATTTATAAAGCATATTTTTTGGCTAAAAATGAAAAAAAGTCATATAAAGAAAAAAATTCTTGCATTTAAATAGCAAAAAATGTTTTGTCAACAGAAAATTTGTTTGCAAATTGGTTGTACAAAAGAGGCTGGTTAGGCGTTGGAAAATCGTAGAGGTTCACTATTTACTCTCAGGTGGAAGTTAACAATGATTAGCTCAAATTAGCTGCCATTTATGAAGTGTCAAGTTCATCAAAGGTTGGGACTTCAAGAAAATAAAAAGTTATTATTAAGATCTGTGGTTTGGCATGCGTGTGTTTGTGTGTGTGTGAACTAGGAGAGGGTGATGTCGGTGAAGAAGCGAACAAAGTCAGTGAATGTTATGCCATTTTGCAGGCCCTTCAATTGCATAATGGAGTGAATGACGGAGGCGTTGTTAGGCTTCCCCAACTCTCTCAGTGCTGCCTGAATCTCTTCGAGGTCTAGCATACCCGAATTATTGGTGTCGAATTTATCGAAGGCTTCGCGCAATCTAGCAACACTGCAATCAGAAAATGCGACCTTGACCTTTCAATCCAAATTTATGCAAAAAAAACAGAAGACAGTCTCTCCTGTGATGTGACTATGAATTCTTCTATCTATTTGCGTTAAGACTCGGGGCGATAAATATGCACCAGTGACAAAAGAACCTGATCATAGGGGGACAGATGTAAGGGAAAGACCTCCTCCACGTGTAAGAAAGCAACTCTGCCTTTAGGTTACTTTAGTAGAAGAAAATATTCCTGTCTTTAGCGTTAACTACTGAATAGGCACACATCATCACCTACTTGGAGGTTCACTATGCCTTTAGGAGTAACCCCGTGACGAAAATTTAACCAATCATAGTCGTCTCATCGAGTTTTACTGTTTTTTGGAATGAATCCTTCATGTTCCACCTAAAATCTCTGTAATTGGTCTAAAGTGCTTGATTTTATCAAAAAGATCATTGGATCTCTCTATTCTCACTTTCTACCCCCCTCTCCCTTCTCCTTGGGTCCTCAATCCGCTTTAGTGGAATGGCGCAGTATTTGCGTCCTTTTGTTTAATATTCACAATCACCTATCCTAGGTCCTGTCTACTTCCACCTTTGTGGACTGTGAGGAGCAACAATAAAAAACTTGCAAAAGTCAGTGGTTTCAGTCAGCAGTATTTTTCTCTCAAAGAGAAAAGAAGGAATAAAGAAAATGCAAAAAACTAACCACTTACATGCTTGTGGAAGGTGTAGGCAAAGACGCCTTTTTGCTGGCCGACTTGGAGAAGTGAAAAGGCATTCCAACTGAGGTACCACTGTGTGATCAAGTGTTGATAAACCCGCAAAGTGGTCTCCTGCTCATCTCACGCGACTTTAATGCGCAGAAAGAGAAGAGAAAAAAGCAAATGAATGGCCAGGGCAGGGATCCGTGTGAGCATCGCAGTTGCAGCAGTCTACGTACTGCCGATTAAAGTGCATCAATATGAGCATGTGAACATTTTCCTTACCAGTCTACTGATGGAGGACATCAGTAGGTCAATGAAAAATTCAGTAAAAACTACACTTTGGAGATGTTTAAGCATTTTCTAATGCATTATTTCCACACTTTCCCCCAATGTATTCCGCTCTTTCGTGAATTTGAAATAACTTGGCATTTGCTTAGCCGCGTAGTCAAAATGTCGTTTTTTGACACATTTCGATCCATCGACTTGTTGTAACTTGCCCTAACTTGTTGATACGTCAAAATTTTTTTTTTCCTTTTACACATCATCAAATGTCGGTTAAACAAGAGATGACAGACAGTAAGCGATGACAGATGATAGAATGTGAGGGTTTTTTGAGAGCTAAGCCGCCAAAATGGTAGTTCAAAACTACGAGAATTAAAGAAACTTTAGAGTTATATGTCCACTTGATTGATAGGGCAAATCGCTAAGTAGTCTTTAATTTTTCGCATATGCTCTCATTTAAACCGCAATCAAGAGAGCGGTTGAACGTGTTCTGTGCTTTGAAAGAAACCTATGAGTCTGGAGAAGCAAACATCACTTTTTCATGGGAATAGGTGGATTTTTGAAGCCAACAGCCGTAATGCTTCTCGTCAGTTCTAACTCATCCACTGCTTTCGATCCTCTCTGTAAACCTCCAAACTTTACTAAGAACGTAAAATGCAGCAGGCTGCTGAATGTGGAAGCGGATTTGATGACCCTTCCGGAACAAAGTCCCACCAGGCGTCAATAAACCACAGAAAACGTCACGCTAAAATTTGACTATAAATGAGTATAAGTGGAGGATCGGCCCATTAGGAGCTTGTTTTCCTTCCAGTGTCCAAGTATGGCCAAAAGGTCGATTATTTTTCAAATTAAATAAAACAGGTTTAATTGGTAGAATTTGAAGAATGAGTTGCAAAATTGAGTGAGAGATGAAGAATGGGATTGGTACATATATCAGCAGGAAATTATATGATGGAGTGTCATATATGTCAAAAACAAATTTTGGCAGCCCCTAGACAGTGAATTTTGAGCGTCGTCTCAAATACATTTAAAAACGAGTAGTATAAATTGGAGTGTCTGTTGACCAATTGACCGACATTTGACGAGAGGCGAATTTTGTATCATAAAGAGATTAATTGCCAGTTCTCTCCAAATTATCCACTAAGGCACGCAGCACCGCTTCATCTCATCGAGATCGTTCACACTTTCAGTGTGATGAACACCAGACGCAACCTTCTATCACGATCTCCTGCTGAGTATTAAATACTTGCAGCCGGGACCCACCGGTTTGATACGGCACAACCGAATGTTGAGGAGGAGGATAAGACTGCGACTGAAGAAGCAGCCCGAATCAAGTAATCATTTGGTCGAAGGATCCTTTCTTTCAAAGCAAAATAAAGCCACAAAGCCCCAAGCAATTTTTCCCCTTTTTTCCGACCATCATCCTTTCGGTCATAAGTCAATGGCAGGACCGCTTAGAAGGCAGTAGAGTTGTCCACTCGGGAGACAGGGCAGAGGTCAGGACTGGAGAGGGGGTCATGATTTCCCGACAAGGCTTGTGTCCTCTTGAAACACCAATGACAGACATTGACGATGCTTAGTTTGAGGCACATAGAAGAACCTTCTAAAAGCTCTCACAGACTCCGTTTTTGGAAGAAAATGTCTTAAGAAGTGCATCCTCTTTAGGTCAAATCTGCGCCTTAACATCCCCCCCTCCAGAGGGTTAATTACGCTTCTCTCGGTCATGGCTGCTTAGAGCTTCGTCTACGATGTGTAAAGTACTAAATCAAGCCTCTATAAGAAGCCACTCTCATTTTTCTCTCCTTCAGCCTAACGCATAGAATAATAATGACTAACCTCTTCGCTCGTGGTGATTTCATGCGAAAACAATTCGACGAATTGGATCGTGACGGTGATGGCTTCATCACAGAAGCCGATTTAAGAGCCTGTACAAAAGGACACCCATTTAATGCATGTGCTATCGATGTGAGTGATGAATTTATGACTTATTCAACCA